TTGTTTAAACTGGAGATCTGTCTGGACTGGAGATCTGTCTGAACTAAACTCTGTGTAAACTGGAGATCTGTCTGAACTAAACTCTGTGTAAACTAGAGATCTGTCTGAAATAAACTTTGTGTAAACTGGAGATCTGTCTGAACTAAACTTTGTGTAAACTGGAGATCTGTCTGAACTAAACTCTGTGTAAACTGGAGATCTGTCTGGACTAAACTTTGTGTAAACTAGAGATCTGTCTGAAATAAACTCTGTAAACTGGAGATCTGTCTAAACAAAACTCTGTGTAAACTGGAATTCTGTCTGCAATAAACTCTGTGTAAACTGGAGATCTGTCTAAACAAAACTCTGTGTAAACTGGAATTCTGTCTGCAATAAACTCTGTGTGAACTGGAGATCTGTCTGAACAAAACTCTGCAAACTGGAGATCTGTCTGAACTAAACTCTGTTGAACCCTGTGTAAACACCTTTTTATGCCTTTGTCCAATGACTTGTTTATATGAAAAGACCTCTACAAAAACTTATTACCTCTCAGTATTGTCGGTGTTCAATATAGATGGATTTTATTGTCTAACTCACCATGAATCAGTTAACAGGACGATGCATTGAAATTCTGATCATTACTAAAAATAAGCTAAAGTTGTTTTCTTTCTCCGCCTAACAATCTCTATTGTGTTCAGCCTTTGTTACTGAAACATGAATAATAATGTTTTGTTGTAAACCTGGTGTTTACTGAATGTAATATTCAGATCAAGATGCCAGACTTGGTTTTGTACAGAAATATGTCTGCACAAATTAGTGCTTGACTGACTAAATTGTATTACCAGTCTTTTAATCCGCTGTGAAGACAATACTATTATGGTAAAAGTAAAGAGGTTATTATCCTTGTTTTAAAGTTGCATGCACTCTTTCCTATATTCACATTCCTATAGTTTATTGGGGTCTTCAGAATATAACTGGTGAACTGGAATTCTTTGTGCAAACATATTTTTACGAAAGTGTCAAAACTAGCCAATTAGACAGCACCGGTATAGTTCTAATCAGTTTGTGTTTGCAATTTTCACGGGTGTGCTACAGCAGCGTTTTACACTCAGTTTTTGACACTCAGTTTTTGTCATTAAAATGGTTTTGATTTTTAGCTCTCTATACAATAGCAATAAATCTTTCATACGATCAGAAAAACCTAAGCAAAAATTGCATTTTAGTTTTACAACAGTGGTGGACAAAAATCATGCGAGTGTACTGATGAAGAAAACACAGCGCCCCCAACACCACTGTGACATATGCAATGTACCAGATATTTCTTTATGTTTATTTCCATACTAATTGTTATTTCGCAAATCACGAGAAAATAAAATTCTAGTTCTACATTATTTGAAGTATTTGATTGTCTGAATATGCATGAATTACAATATTCGATTATTTGCAGTTTTGAATCATTGTGGGTTGTAGTAATTACGAACAGATGTGAATCTTTTTATAAGCGCTATCAGAATACTTTGTAAAAACATTGGCAAATGGTGAAATAGGAAATCAAAACATTTGCCAACTTTCAGATGCATTGAAAATCATTGAACATAAATATTCAGGTATTTAACAGGTACAAATGTATTCAGGTATTCCACATAATAGTGAGAAAAAAAACACAAAGTTTTAGAAATGATCTCAGAATACAAATTTAGCTAAATAACGCTTGTTCTTATGTTGCACAAGTCTATTTAATAATTTGGAAGAAATGTATGTGCAAAATAATTTGAGGCACCATTTATCAAAATTATAAGATCTTCTTTAAAAAAAGAAACGGCGCAGGGATAGAATGAATTTTGTTAGAATTTCTTTCTAATTTTACACCAAAATGGATCAATTTAAAGTTGCCAAGAGGTGTTGGTCGAAATTTTTTAAAAATCAAAACAATTACATTACATTTGTATGTGTGTTTAATTTTGTGAATGGTGACAAAAGTTGGCTTTTGTGCTCAAAGGGTTAAACCCCATCTGTGTCATTTTAGACCCAAGTGAGTTTACTTCCTGAATAAAGCCTTAGCAACAGTATGCCACTACTATAGCAGTTATAATTCGTCGCTATGCCAGTGTCTAAATTGAACTGCTTTATAAATAATTAATTACATTACAACGTCCTTTGCAAGTTTTGCCATGCAGCAATCCTGTGTGCAAAGATAAAGTGAAAATGTAGATCGAACGACATAACTTCATTTCCAGGTTTCTGTGCAAGTGATTAGAAGGTCATAGTTCATCTGTACTGCTGGTTCAAACCAGTTTGCTACACCCAGCTTACCCAATTGAGTATTACAGCAACATACTACTTGATGAGCATGTCTGACTATAAATTATCCAAACCTTCAGTTGTTTGAAACTTGAATGATGGTGGTCAGTGCAGCCACCACTTACAGGCGGTTGCACTTGAATATTGTGTAAATAAACAAAACATTTGACCCACATTTTTATACACCTATGTTGCTATGTGTATCGGGAGTATGGGACCCACATGAAATGCACACAACTATCGATAATTAAATTAACATTATAAATTATAATTAATATTACAGCTCGGCATGCCTGATAAGATCCGATTTGAATATGATTGGAAGAAAGAAGAACCTCCTAAAGAAGCAACTGAAGGAACCAGTGGCGTTGAGATGTGTGGTATCGAATCAACTGAACACAGATCTGCTGTTGGAGAAAAAGCTGAGACATGTGAATTGGTCAAAACGCTGCAAAGACTGATATTCCTGGCCGACTCAGAATTGTCTGAGATTACCAAACCAAAGCAGGTGAATGTGATAGAATTGCATCATGCCATGTTTTACCTCTTTTAAATTACTCTTTCAAATTATATTATTTTATCTACTGTAATTTTAATATGTTCACGGGTATACATGTATTGTGACAACCAAAAAGTTCTCTGACTTCCTTAATTCTTGTTTCCATACGTATAATTCACTGTCAGTGTTTTGATCCTTCCCTCTCAGTTTGAAGGAGCTGTGTTTATATTGACTGGCAATTGATGTTACAGATAATATGGTTGATCAGCAATACTAGTGTCATTGTTGACACTCTTTTGATGGATGCTTGATTTGGACCATTGGGAGTTTCACAACTTGTTTATTTCTACAGAACAAATAACACATTAATAATTTTATTTGACGAGATGCTGAATTGTTCGAGTTGCGGACATCGAGTTACGAACATCAAGTTACAAAAACTTTGAGTTACTAAAATGACAACGCACTTATTTCTGAAACCCCGCCCACTTCTGTGAAACCACACACAAATTGTAACTCAATGTTCAGTTAACAGAACTTTGAGTTACGGGCAACCTATGTTTTTGTTGGACGTCTACATTTATTTAGTAACTAGAACTTGAATTAACAGTTAACCAAACTTCAAGTTACGGGCAACATAGAATTTTTGTTTTGTTTAATGTTGTATATTCCCCGTAATTCAAAGTTCATTAAACTGATAATTAAAATTTGAGTTACTAAATTTGAACGTTCTACAAAACAAAAAATGTATGTTGCCTGTAACTCGAAATTCTGTTAATTGGACATCAATTACAATTTGGACATAGTTTCGCAAAAGTGGGTGTGGTTTTTGAAATATGGGTGTGGTCATTTTTGTAATTCTGTTTTTGTAATCCTATGTTCGTAACTCAATGTCTGTAACACGAACAATTCAGCATCTCTATTTGACTACCCCCGATAGTTTCGTTCTTGAGGCAAAATGTTTTGAAATTGCCTTGGTCTCATTAAAAATATTTAATTGTACAATACCGGTATAACCAGGTTTTTCGAGCTGTGGTCATTCATCAGTTGTGTGATTAAGATTGGTTAGCAAATCTCTTCAGTGGGAATTCTCCATGCAATATCTCACGAACATAATTTTCCTCTCTGTACCACAGGGTTCAAGTTCCAATACATCGCCATCAAGGTCATCTGCTTCGTTTGCGGCCTCCACACCACCATCAAAATCCACAATCGCCGGAGTTAAAACTAGTGCTACAAACAAGAGTCCAAAAGAGAATACCAAAATTTCTGCAAATAAAGCTGCTCAGAGAGCGAACATTAATGCCTCTAGTCTGATTGCGGGCAGTGACAACTGTAGTGACATTGTTAGGTCTGCAACGATCGGTGATCAAGACAAAGAGGTGTTTGTTGTACCAACTACACTGCCTGCAACTAAAAAAATATCTCCTGCAACGTCTTCCCAGCAGGATAAAGCTTTTATGGCTCAGCTGCAGTCTATTAATGTGAGTGTACTAATAAATGATTGATGAGCTTGCAAAAGTAAGAATTGCATCTGCTTTTCATGTAGCGTGTCTCAGTATGAAAATGCAGAAGAATTGGCAATCTATGTGTATCTCTGTTACAAATGGAACTCTTTCTTGCTCAAAAAAAGAATTCCCTCTGATTCTAGGGTTAACATTACCTGCGTACACCGTTTTGCCTATTTATTTGGCTTTTTGTGGAGACATTCAGCAGGTAATATGTTAAAGCAATTCCTGTAGAAGTAAATCAGGGAAACATTACATGGGAATGTCAATGCTTTATATAGAGAGAACAGTCAACCACATGTGTTATATAAACTAGCGACTGCAGTACATAATCTTCTAGCAGCATGATCCTACATTGCTTCTATTTGACCAGAGGGAAAATAATTCATGTTAAGCAAATACAAGTCAGCAAAGAACACTTAAATTAACACAGCATACTGGATGGTTGTAAAAACCTTCCTGACTTGGTATAGTGAGAGATGATAATGAGGAGATAGAAGTGTATACCAGTATTTAATTAATGAGCAAAGGGAAACTTGAATTCGGTTATAGAAGTACATTGTGATGTTGCACTGTTGTTCATTGTTATTACCGGTATATTACTCGTAATAGCATATGTTTTTTATTTCAATTCCAGAAAGAGCCAAACATCTTTTTACCAAGGTACAAAAAGAGAACAAGAGGAAGAAAACCACTTGTTGTGCAGGTGAATTACATTGTTTTAATTGCAACCAACCATACAGTATTTCTGTTTTTATCTTCTTGTGGTGATCATCATCTTAAACAATTCTAAAATGAATGAGTGCAGGAATTGAACTTCAGAGTTGAGAAAATCACATATTTTTAAGAATTCATTTTATAAAATTGCCTCAGTGTACGGGGAATATCAAAGGACACCAAGGCAAGCTAATTTGGCATCTAGACAGCTGCTTACAATGCAATGAGTGTGTTTGAAAGACCTGGTTAGTGTTCGTTTCGTGTTTTTGCTTGTTACTTTAGACATTAACAGAACAGGTATTTTGGCCTTCTTAAATAGAGTGATAAACTCGGCCATTTCCGTTTCTTTGAGCAAACCTTGCCATGCTTATCACAACTCGTCCAGAATGTGACACGCATGTGGAACTTGTCCAGGGTGTGACATGCATGTGGAACTTGTCTAGGGTGTGACACGCATGTGGAACTTGTCCAGGGTGTGACACACATGTGGAACTCATCCAGGGGGTGACTCGCATGTGGAACTTGTCCAGGGTGTGACATGCATGTGGAACTCATCCAGGGTGTGACATGCATGTGGAACTTGTCTAGGGTGTGACACACATGTGGAACTTGTCTAGGGTGTGACATGCATGTGGAACTCATCCAGGGGTGACATGCATGTGGAACTCATCCAGGGAGTGACACGCATGTGGAACTTGTCCAGGATGTGACATGCATGTGGAACTCATCCAGGGTGTGACATGCATGTGGAACTTGTCCAGGGTGTGACATGCATGTGGAACTCATCCAGGGGGTGACATGCATGTGGAACTCATCCAGGGGGTGACATGCACGTGGAACTCATCCAGGGGGTGACACGCATGTGGAACTCGTCCAGGGTGTGACATGCATGTGGAACTTGTCCAGGGTGTGACATGCATGTGGAACTTGTCCAGGGTGTGACATGCATGTGGAACTCATCCAGGGGGTGACACGCTTGTGGAACTTGTCTAGTGACACGCATGTGGAACTCATCCAGGGTGTGACATGCATGTGGAACTCGTCCAGGGTGTGACATGCATGTGGAACTCGTCCAGGGTGTGACATGCATGTGGAACTTGTCCAGGGTGTGACATGCATGTGGAACTTGTCCAGGGTGTGACATGCATGTGGAACTCATCCAGGGGATGACATGCATGTGGAACTCATCCAGGGGGGGGGGGACACGCATGTGGAACTCGTCCAGGATGTGATACGCATGTGGAACTCATCCAGGGGATGACACGCATGTGGAACTTATCCAGAATGTGACACGCATGGGAAAATCGTCCATATTGTGACTTGCATGTGGAACTCGTTCAGGAAGGGACGCGCATGTAAAACTTGCCCAGGAACTTCATAGCATATCTTCATACATTACATTGCGATTATATAATAAAGTTGCATACCCACATTTTATAAATCTTTGATGTATTTTATCTTAAAGTGCCTGTGCAATGCCCACCCTCACGTTTCCCATTTTAGATCTGTGTCCCACTGAAATGGACAATTATTGATTTTTTTGCCGAAAATGATTACTCGTATCCAAGTAAATTTGGTGCGCCACCAAATGCCAAAATGTGAGAGGAAGTCATACCCCTGAGCTGTAATAACACTGGTCATTCAGTATACTTTTAAACGATATATATTTTTTGGTCGCCGTTTTTTTTTCTTTTTTTTTTGGACTATTTTAATTTTCTGAGAGAGAGTTTTTAGATGTTGTGTTGTGGGCAGTTGCAGTGAAACGTATAGTCATAGTGTAAGTATTCACACGTTTCTAATCGACCCGAAGGTGCGACATCAGTGGACGAAAGCCACTTCACCTCAGATTCATTTTTTTTTT